TTTGAAAGCCTAAGCTCCCATATAACTTTTTATGAACTAGCTGATTTTCATGTTTCTGAGTGACTTTGGAACACATTTTATTTTAATAAGAATAACCCATGGAGCAAAAAAGGCAACAGCCTCCTTATTATCCTGCTCTGCATATAGGAATTTTTGTCTTTTGGCTGCCAAACCTGTATTCCACATTGTCCAGCTTTAGAAAATGGATTGTTTTTAATGGGTGAGTTTGAGTGACAAAGGCAGAGAGCAGGCCAGTGGCCTGTCCCCTCAGTGGATCGGATTAGATCTGAGTGAATAAAGACGTGATGGGCTGCAGACTTTAGGGGGAAATCTGCCGTGTACATTGGCACTTCTGAGTGGCACTAACATTCTCCGTTTGCCTTACAAACTCTTTAAAATGCCATTTGCATTAATGATGGTATAATTGACATTGCTTCTCCAGAAGCTCAGAGGATTGTGGGGAGGTAGAATAAAAAAAAAATTTCATTTCCTCTGAAGATTATCCTGTAGCTACAAAATGTGAAGAGACAAGGACTCCTGTTAGTGTGTGATGTTATATTAATAAAAAATCAAATAAGCACAAAACCTATCCATCATCACAGTTTTCCCAGTAGCCTTTTATCTCATTGTACGTTATCTTTCTAATTGACACGTATCAGTATTATTATGAATGGTAGATATAATTTTTTTACACTAAATACCCAGAATGCTTCACGATCCATTTGTTCACATTGATTTCTCTTTAAGAAGTGAAACTCTTGTAGTTGCAGCAATAGCTTAATGTCCCAAACACCCATGAATGTGTGTGACAGAGGAGACGTGGGCAGGGGACTCAGGATTCAGTCTCTGCTATAACTGAATGGGGTTGAAATCTTTATGAAAGAATGACCTTTTAGAGGTCAAAGATCAACTGCAACGTGTTGGAACCATAATTTAGAAAGACATATACACAGAGGTCAATAAGGTTTTAAATGAAACTGTCAGCTTTTTAACAAGGTCAGTTATAATGTATTTATTCCCTAGCTTTGTACTGGATCTGTGTATATTAGCAACATTTTAATAAATGTTTTGTGAACGATGGGTTAGTAGAGGACATAAGTAATTTCTAACTAGCATTTTGTAACACCTATATTAGTAATGTGTGTTTTCTTATAGTATTTTACTGAAGTTAAATCAGGCAAAAGACCAGAGAAAACCAGAGTATAAGCACAATTTAGATTCCTAAGGGAAGAGTTTCGTGTTTTTTTGTTTGTTTGTTTTGTTTTTTACTAATGCCAGTAAAATTCTCCCCACTCATAATATTATGCCAAATGGAAAATATCTATCTTCTAATGACGCTTGGTGTTGGAGAACATATTTCTGAGGCATTGCATTATTCTGAAGTGCCTTCTAAGTCATTCAGGAAAGATCAGGTTAGGTGTGGTGATGTGAAATGTTGAGGTTGTTCACACAAAAAATTATAATTTTTTGATTTTTTAAATATTTTATTTATTTTATTTTAGAGACAAGATCTCACCCTGTAGGCCAGGCTGGAGGGCAGTGGTGCCATCATAGCTCACTGCAGCCTCCGACTCCTGAGCTCAAGCAATCTTACCATCTCAGCCTCTCAGAGTGCTGGGATTACAGGTGTGAGCTATTTTCAACTACATGTAGTGTGTATGTGTCTTAGGGCATGCTTAATTGCAAGGAAAACAGATCTATTCAAATGTCCTTCAGGAATTTGTGGTGAAAAATTGAGGAGAATCACAGAGAAGTCAGTTTTAGGAAGTATGGCCAGACCTTGAAGTGAGTAGAGGGATAGAGACTTAACTCAAACTAGCTAAAGCAAAAGAGAGATTGTTTCCCAGACCTGAGTGAGCAGAGTCTTCTGCTCCTTGCAGATGAACTTACCAAGCCAGGTGAGGGTGAACACTTTAAGAAGATCCTGCTTTTTTTTTTTAATTTAAATTATTATTATTTTTTAAATTTCATGAGATGGAAAGTAGAAGTAGGCAATATAAGAAGAAAGAACATGAAACTGGGTCAGGCAGAAGCAGAGATCTCCATGTGGTGTAGCAACATCCACACCATGGACATTTTGAACTAGAGGATTATTCCTTTTCTGTTTTTTTTTTTTGAAACAGAGTCTTGCTCTGTTGCCCAGGCTGGAGCTCGAGTGCAGTGACACCATCTCAGCTCACTGCAACTCCTGCCTCCTGGGTTCAAGCGATTCTCCTGCCTCAGCTTCCCAAGTAGCTGGCGTTATAGGCACCTGCCACCACGCCCAGCTAATTTTTGAATTTTTAGTGGAGATGGGATTTCACCATGTTGGCCAGGCTGGTCTCGAACTCTTGACCCCAAGTGTTCCACCTGCCTCGGCCTCCCAAAGTGTTGAGATTACAGACAGGAGTCACCATGCCCAGCTAACTAGATAATTCCTTACTGTGGCAGACTGTCATCTGTGTTATAGGGTGCTTAGCAGCATCCCTGGTCTCTATCCACCCTGAAACATGGGAGTAAAACATTTCTTGAGACGTTTCCAAATGCCCCTGGCAGTCAAAATTGCCTCTAGTTGAAAACTTCAATACGGGAAAGTAGGTGTATGGATTTCAGACTGTCACAAAACTCCTCAATCATTTATAGCCTCTCTTGTTGTGGAGAGAATCCAATAAGGGGTAAAGAGAAGTGTGGAAGGTTTTTTTTTTGTCGAGTTCTTCCTAATGAGAGTAGAAGTTTCGATTAAAGTTTCTATTTTATGGGACAAGGTGAGAATGCATAGGGGTAGAGGAGGTGGTGTAAGAAGAAGAGGTTTCCAGGATACCTTTAGTGTGTTGTATCTTTTCACAGTATGTTGAAGTGTAGTTTATCTATTTCCATGGAAATGTGCATTAAGCTAGGCTCGTCTCTCCAAATTGGTCTGTTGAGCCATTTAGATCTAAAGCCCTATGCTATTTAAAGTATCAGACAAATATGGCAAAGAAACTAGCAGTTTATACCGCAGTTTGTAGTGTTTTAGGAAACCCATAAAATTTATTTCTGACTTGATTCTTACCTTACTTGTATAAGTCTACGAAGAGGTGCATGGCAAATACAGGATTTGAGAGTCACCAACTCTACTCACTATTCCGTCCTTGTTTTATTTGTGTTTTTAGCCAGGTAGGTGTTTCCCTTTGGTTGGATGGAAAAACAAGCCAAACAAAACAAAATCTAAAACAACTCTCTGCCCAACTTTCACAATATCGTCAATCCTATTCTTTAATGTCTCCACTGATTATTTTAATCTTTAATATACTTTAAATTTCATTTTTAAATTTTACTTTTTATTTTATTTTATTTTTTGAGATGGAGTTTTGCTCTTGTTGCCCAGGCTGTAGTGCAATGGCACAATTTCAGCTCATTGCAACCTCAGCCTCCTGGGTTCAAGCAGTTCTCCTGCTTCAGCCTCCCAAATATCTGGGAATACAGGCATGTACCACCATGCCCAGCTAATTTTTGTATTTTTAGTAGAGACAGGGTTTTGCCATGTTGGCCAGGCTGGTCTCGAACTCCTGACCTCAGGTGATCCACCTACCTCAGCCTCCCAAAGTGCTGGGATTACAGGTGTGAGCCACTGTACCCGGCCCATTTTTAAAATTTTAATAAATTGTGTCTCCACATCATTATGCTGTTTTTCCTTTTCTTAGTTTACCTTTGATTTTCTGCTCTTATTTCATAGAAATTTCATGGCATCCTTTTGAGGCGTGTTATAAAATTAGTAATGATTTTTCCTCTATCTCTACTGGTAAATGACTATCAGAGTAATGCTCTTTTAATTCTTCAGTATGATATTCTCTTCTTAATGTTTTGCATATATCATTCTTTGAGCACATCTCTGCTTTTCTTTATCTCTATCCATCCTCAAATTAGGAGATCTTTATTCAGATAATGTTTACCAGCAGGGTTGTGTGTTTTTCTTAAGGCGCTTCTCGCTGTTTGCTAAATTCTTGTATCAAATCTACCACAAGAAAGTAGCTCATTTCCCAATGCCTTACAGATTTCAGTACTGAGGTTCTTAAATCGTCCTGTCTGGAAACTTCACATTTGAGCGGATTTCAAATATAAAAATTATAACCCTTGCATGTACTTCTTTCAGGCTCGTTCTGTTTTAGCTTTTCTAAGAATACATTCTTTTCTAGGAGAGATGCACCTCTGCAGCCCCTCATTCTGTGTCACCCATTTATATATTTTTGAAAGTTGTCATTCCCAAATACCAAGTACTATTTCTGGTTATCTTAAGCCAGAAAGGATTTAATACTTTGGAAGAAGTTAGGACATTGTACGAGTATTGGGATGGTAGAGGGGGCGTTACCGCTGCAGTTGGGAATGAAATGTAAAAGTCTTTTACCTTTGTGTCACTTAATCTAACTTTATTAATATATGGAGTGGGCGCATCCAGTGGGCTGGAATTAGGTCATGTGCCTGGGTTGGACTCCTTTCTCTGAAAAACAGGGCAGCAGGGTGTTGTCTCACACCAGAATACTCAAGTTGTGGGTCCAATTGTGTCCTCCAAAAATAAATGTTGAAATCCTAACCCCAAATACCTGGAAAGATGACCTTATTTAAAAACGGGGTCAGATATAATTACGTTAAGATGAAATCATTAGGGTAGGTCCTAATTCAACGCCTGATGTCTTAATGAGAAGGAGGAAATTTGCACACTGACACACAAGGGGAGAAGACCAAAACATGACAGAGGTAGAAACTGGAGTGCTGCAGCTGCAAGCCAAGGAACATGAAGGATTGCCAGCAACCATCAAAAGCAGGGAAGAGCCAAGGAAGGATCTTCCCCTAAAGCCCTCAGAAGGACCATGGCCCTGCTGACACCTTGGCTTCAGACTTCTAGCCTCCAAGACTTCGAGAAAATATATTTCTGTTGTTCTAAGCCATTTGGTTTGTTTTCAAATGTTCTTGCAGCCCTAAGAAATGAATATGATACACAATGGGGGATTCCTTTGAAATTGCAAAGCGGGTGGGTGATGATGGACAACTGTAGAAATCCCAAGGTCCAGTTGGGAGAGTGTGTAAGGAGACAGTATTCACCATACATCCCAAAGTGGTACTCTCGAACTAGATGACTGCTCACCGAGTTTTCTTATTGGTACAGATCCTGGATCTCTCAGGCATGAGACTAGAGTGAAAGAGGATAAAATGTCTTCCTACCTTCTCTCTGGGTTGTTCCGTTGGATGAACCCACGCATGGGTAAGGAATTTTTTTTTCTTTATCCAGTTTCATAAGCCATAGAGTTGTGAGAAATTCCTCCCAGATTTTGGCAATAGTGTATCTGTTCAACTTTATTTTAAGCTCTTTTTCAGTTGTTATTATGTGTGAATATTCATGAGACTTTTTGTTAGAAGTTAGGAGGATCTGCACCAAAGATACCTCTTTATTTTCCCCTATTTTTTTTTCTATCTTTTAAATTATAGGTCTAAGTGAAGAAGGTTTAGAGAATAAGGGCAAAATGGGCACCAAGTGAGACCTCAGGTCATGTTGGGATTTACTCTAAAAATTTGTCAGCTTTCTTCTCCCTTTCCCCTGTGATATGAGACAATTTTCCTATTTCTAGAGACTTCTAGATTATCTACAGCTATCTTTACATAGGTACTGCAGTCTTAATTAACAAGTTATAGAACTGAACATTTTCCCTTTTGTAATATCTTGGTTAGTCCTTGAATTATGTAATATGTAAATAGCATGAAGCCACTTCAAAGAACTTTGAAAGTACAATTATGCACTGAAGTACTAAGCCAATAGAATTAAGAGTAAACGAATGTGGCTGCTTTTGAATAATAATTCAAAGGATTTAATGGAGGTAAGCTAGTAAACAAGTGTAAGAGACTGAAGACATAATCTTGGACTTTGAAATACTTTTGAGAGCATTTTGAGCAATAGTTTGTTAGCTTGAAATTTATTTCAAATGTCTATCCCAGGAATGTAATTGAAGGAAAAATGGTTAGTCTAATTTAGAACTTTATGCTCTATTTTAAACTTTGAAAAAAAAAGAATCCTGTTAGGGCCATAACGAAAGGGTTTTCTTTAAAAAAAATTCAGAAGTCTTTCTTTATTTTACTTATGTTGAAGATATGTTTTTTGATTAAAATGCAGTAAAAGCTATACTAGAGGAAATTTAAAGGCATTTGTTCTCAAAGATAAGGTATTTACAAATGAAGGCTATCCAAGATAATTTAAAAAGCAGTGAGACTTGATGAGGGGAAATCAGTGTTTCATTTTTGTTATGTTATTGCCGTCAATCAACCCTGCAGAGAAAAACAAAGAAGAAAGAAACAACAAAAGGACAAAGTCATTTATCTTTAAATGTTCAAAAGGTGCAGGTACTGTCTCTGCATTGGTTTGCAAATGAAAAGATTTTTCTTCTTTTTACTTATTTTCGTAGACCTCCCTAAACAAGGGGAAAGTATAATTTAGAAGATTCAGAGTCAATGAAAATTGGTGTGTGTAGGAGCTTATAAAATTAATTTTAGTTGCTAGGCCTTTAATACCAGGGTGTGTCCTATGCACTGTGCCCTTTTAAATAATCCTTTTACGTTGCTCAGGGCAGATATATTTTGAGAGTGGCACCTCTATTAACCTTAGCTGTATACCTTTTAGAGAAGAAGAAAAAAATCACTGGAATTCTATTTTGAATGCTACTCATGCTGAACAATTGTCACAGAACATTAGTTTGAAATCTAAATGAAGTCTTGACTATTCTTTTCAGGTAGGAGAGAAACAAGGCAGGGAAGAAAAACAAAGATGCTTCTCACTCTGAATTTCTATTATGATCTTGTGATGTTATATAGGAGCATCTCGAGGAAACTCAAGAATCAAAACAAGACACTTTAAAAGGGGGAGAGAATTATTTATGCAAGTCACAGTGCCAGACAGCTAGATGACAGTAACTAATGTTCCTTGAGTGCTTATCAGATGCCAGAAAAGCACTAAATAAATGCATTCCATGCCTCACCTCTGTTTCCTCCCAGTCTCTCATCCTCATAGGACCCCCACCTAATATTATCATGCCAGTTTTACAGATGAAAAAACTCTCAGCACTTTAGGAGGCCGAGGTGGGAGGATCGCTTGAAGTTAAGAGTTTGAGACCAGTCTGGGCAACATAGCAAGATCCTGTCTGTAAATAAATAAGTAAATAAGCCAGACATGGCAGCATATGCCTGTAATCCCAGCTACTTGGGGAGCTGAGGTGGGAGGATCACTCGAGCCTAGGAGTTGGAGTCTGCAGTGAGCAATGATGGTGCCACTGTACCCCAGCCTAGGCATCAGAGTGAGACCTTATCTCTTAAAAATAAAAGAAAAAATTGAGGCACAGAGAAGTTAAGAAACTTGGCTGGGGTTCTCACCACTAGTGAATGGTGGACCTAAGATTTAACCCTTCGGACTGCCTCCCTAGACCTTATTCTTAACAACTCTCTATGCTTCTTGTAACACCTCCTCCATCTCAGATCTGATTGAGAAGTGTAGAAGATGTAAAGTTCAGTGAATGAGTTGGCTGATTATTTATAAGTTTCCAGATGTGCGATGCTGTGTGGACTGTGGTGGGCGTGTATTGATTTTGTCTGTTCAGCATCTCCTCTGTCTTATTTTGGTATCCATATCCCGATTTTGCTTAGGGGAACTATCCTTCCCTCATCATGTTTGTCTTGGTGCTTTGCATTTCCTTGGCTAATGGGTAGATATGAGACATAAGCCAGCCTGATCACATGCTCTGTTCCTGGAGTTTGAATCTTGAGGGGGATGATAAAGATCTAAAATAGTTGCAGGGTTTTTTTATCCTGATAGAAGTGTCTGGTGGAGACTGACGGTTCTTGCAATGAACCGTGATTACTGAAACTGCTCTGCTTGGGCCTTCTCATAAGTCTGGGGTGTTGGCGTTTCTGTAGGCTGTCCCTTGTCCCTCCCATGCATTCCTTTCTGCCTTAAGAGAACCAGATTCTATTTATTTTCTTGCAACCGAAGAACGTTAACCAAATCACTGACAACTGCTTCTTTTTCATAAGACTGGCTTAGTGGTGTTGTGGGGAGCCTCCAGCAGTTCAGCTTGTAACACCATGACTAGGGTTCACAGCTTGTGGGAAAGGTGTAAGCGAGTTTTGGGCCTGTTGCTTTCTTTTCTTCCATGCATGCATCTGCCACTTTGTGTCAAAAAAGCAAATTTTTTTTGGTACAGATGAATTTTTGGTAGAAATGAATTCTGGTTTCACTCAGAAGCTCATGGTGTCCAGTAGTGAGAAACAGGCAACACACAAAAGAGTCAGGTTCTGGTATTTGCTTGCTGTTATAAAAACTCTATTAGGCTCTTCTTAACACATGTATCTTTCAAATAAAAAAAATAGTCTTACTTGAGGCCAGGCATGGTGGCTCACACCTGTAATCCCAGCTCTTTGGGAGGCCGAGGTGGGTGGATCGCCTTAGGTCAGGGGTTCGAGACCAGCCTGACCAACATAGTGAAACTCCGTCTCTACGAAAAATACAAAATTAGCCAGGTACGGTGGTAGGGCGCCTGTAACCCCAGCTACTCTGGAGGCTTAGGCAGGAGAATTGCTTGAACCCAGGAGGTGGAGGTTGCAGTGAGCCGAGAGCGCCATTGCACTCTAGCCTGGGCAATGAGAGTGGAACTCCATAAAAAAAAAAAAAAAGAAAAAAAAAGTCTTACTTGACAGACATATATACAGATATATATATATATATATAGATAGATAGATAGATAGATATATGTAAGATATACATGATACAATGTATATATGATACAATTATATATAAGATATATATATGATATGACATATATACCAGTTTATATACAGATATATAAAGTGGCTAAAATTATTATTTAATTTTTAAAAAAATTTCAATAACTTTAAGAGTAGCATGGCTTTTGGTTACATGGATGAATTGTATGGTGATGAAGTCTAAGATTTTAGTGTGCTGGTCACCCAAGTAGTGTACGTTGTTTCCAAAACGTAGTTTTCCATCCCTCACCTTCCTCCCACTCTCTTCACAATTGTGAATTGTGCTGTGATAAACATAAGTGTGCAGGTGTCTTTTTTATATAATAACTTCTTTTCCTTTGAGTAAATACCCAGTAGTGCAATTGCTGGATCGAATGATAGCTCTGCTTTTAGTTTTATGAGGAATCTCTATACTGTTTTCTGTAGAGGCTGTACTAATTTACATTCCCACCAGCAGTGTATAAGCATTCCCTTTTTACTATATCAGCATCAACATGTATTGTTATTCCACTTTTTCATAATGGCCATTCTGGTATCTCATTGTGGTTTTAATTTGCATTTCCTTGATCATTAGTGATGTTGAACTTTTTTTTTTTGGAGATGGAGTCTCACTCTGTTGCCCAGGCTGGAGTGCAGTGGCAGGATCTCGGCTCACTGTAACCTCTGCCTGCTGGGTTCAAGCGATTCTCATGCCTCAGCCTCCCCAGTAGCTAGGATTACAGACGTGCGCCACCACATCCAGCTAATTTTTGTAGTTTTAGTAGAGATGGGGTTTCATTATGTTGGCCAGGCTGGTCTCAAACCCTGACCTCAAGCAATCTGCCCACCTCGGCCTCCCAAAGTGCTGGGATTACAGGTGTGAGCCACCACGCCCGGTGAAATTTTTTACATATGTTTACTGGCCATTTGTATGTCTTCTTTTGAGAAATGTCTACTCATGTCTTTTGGCCACTTTTTAATGGGATTATTTTATTTATAAAATAATCTCTTGCTGATTTGTTTGAGTTCCTTGTAGAGTCTGGATATTAGTCCTTTGTCAGATGCATAGTTTGCAAATATTTTCTAAAATGGTTAAAACTATTATTACATCTTTGGAGAGCACAAGCAGACCTATATCATCCCCTGCTTCCTTCTTTCTCCATACTTGCCTGTTAATAATAAGCAACATTTGGCCAGGAGTGGTGCCTTATGCTTGTAATCCCAGCACTTTGGGAGGCCCAGGTGGGGAGATCACTTAAAATCAGGAGTTTGAGACCAGCCTCGCCAACACGTTGAAACCCTTTCTCTACTAAAAATACAAAAATTAGCCTGACCTGGTGACCGGGGCCTGTAGTCCCAGCTACTCCGGAGGCTGAGGCAGGAGGATCACCTGAGCCCGGGAGGTGGAGGTTGCAGTGAGCTGAGATCGTGCCACTGCACTCCAGCCTGAGCGATAGAACAATACCCTGACTCGAAAAAAGA